TTGATATTGGTGGAAGTGGTGCATATACATGTCATGTTTGTTTATGAGAATAAAATCTTTGTCAAGTCGGTTTGGACAATGGGTTGTGTGATTTTAGATACTGGCTACAATGTAGAAAACTAGAAATTGAAAGGCAACTGTACCCATCTGGGAATGGATGTAAAGTAAACATGCATTATGGATTATGCTATTTAAGGAGTTTTTGAGGAAAGAAATGCTGGGACTTGGGATAGAGGCAGGGGAGGGGGACAGGGATAATGGATTATGCTATTTAAGGAATTTTTGAGCCATGTCCCCTGTCCCCAAAGTTTGGAAGACACCCTTCATATATGTTGGGGGGCGGTGATAGGAGCCTTGGAGGTGCCCCTATCCTGATAAAGTAGTCCTCCATAAGCTTTTTAAAGTTTATGTAGTGCTCAATTGGTGATTCCTGAATGAAGAATCCTGCTTTCTCACCCCTGGTTGGGACCCTTAGAGGTGCAAAGTGGCTGCCCCATAAAGAGGTGATTAATTTGATTTCTGTAAGTAATATTTCCAAGGATTAAGGAGTTGGAGTATCTTTGTCAATTCCTAAGTCAGAATGGTATCAAATAGCATGATATGATCCAGCTGTAATTATTTCTACTTTTGAATGGAGCTCCGTAGTGAATCTCTTATGAACTTTGATTGTAGTGGCTGTTCATTGGGTGGTTAGTGTAGGACTGGTTTGGTGGAAAGCAAGGTTGGTGGCTAGTCTTGCTTCAAAAATCTAGCCAAGTAGCTTTAAATCTAGGGAAGAATCCAGAGAATGGTTGCTGGTTTTCTTTAGTAGCAATTAACTGTAGGGAAATAAGAGAAAAGAAGAAAACCACATGTTTCTCTAACACTGGTTTCAAGAGGAAAAAAGAGTGGCTATTATAGAAACAAAAATTAACTCATTCAATTCAACTGTTCCGGACAGATTCACATGTATATATAAAACTCCTTAAAGCTTTGACTGAAAAAGAAATTTGACAATTACTAAAATGGCAGCTGATTCCTAATCAGACCCAAAACTCCTAAGAATAGAGACTTGGCAGAATAGTTTTTGACTTAAATTATTAGTTTCCTTAACAAAACAGGAAACTACTAATTGTAAACTTAAAAAATAGAATGAAAATAACTGCTGGTTTTAAAAATTAAAATAGAAACCCATCAGCTTCAAAATCTAGGTGCAACCATTGGTTCCTCCTTTGATATGTTTTAGTGACTGTTGAGGATTTCGTGGTTTTTGTTAATTGATTTTAGTTATTATTTGTTTAGTTAGTGAGTGGGGACCACAGCACACTATTTGGAAGCTTTTAGAGTAGAGTTTTTAATGTTTTTATTGAGATTTTTTTGGTATCAGCCGCCCTATAAGGGCATATCAGTCATTGTACACTGTTTTTATTTTAAGTATAAATACTAATGGAAGAGGGCAGCCAGATCTGATTACTTTCTCTTCCTTTCTTCATTCTTTCTCTTCTTCTCTCTTCTCCCAAAAACTTCTTCTTTTCTTCCTCTTTTCTTACAGTTTTTATTTCATCAAATTTCTACTATAACTTAAGGATGATTAGTTTTTAGAGAAATTGACGTATGTTAGGCTTAAGTTGAACTAGTATTTACTGATGACATGACAAAAATCTAGGTGTAAATGGTTAAAGGAGGGGGATAGAAACACCAAATATTTCCATTCAATGGCAAATGGTAGGAGAAAGAAGAACTTCATCTCAAAATTGGAAGTAGGAGGAGCAGGCATATCCCACCCGGTAGAAATAGCAGAGGCCTTTGTAAATCATTCAAAATCTATTTTTAGAAGACCCTTAAATGAAAGGATTTGGTTGGAGGGTTTGGAATGGCTGATTCTAAGTGCAGAAAACATAGAGTGGTTAGAAAAGAAATTTGAGATGGAGGAGATTAAGGAAGCATCCTTTTCTATGGATAGGACAAAAGCTGCAGTCCAGACGGTTTCACAATGGCTTTTTATTAGGATTGTTGGGATATTGTGGAGAAGGATCTTGGGTCAGTTTTTGAGGAGTTCCACAGAAGGGGAGTACTTAATCCGGGGTTGAACTCCACATTCATTGCTTTGGTACCAAAGAAGAGAGAGGCATCACAACTAAGGGACTTTAGACCTATTAGTTTGGTGAACACTTTGTATAAATTAATTGCAGAAGTGTTGTCTCTAAGGTTAAAGAAAGTTCTTCCTACCATTATTGCACCCAACCAAGGAGCTTTTGTGAATGATAGACAGATCACCGATCAAATTTTGATTACAAATGAGAGTCTGGAGAGCTTTAGGAAGTCCAAGAAGAAGGGAGTGGTTTGCAAATTGGACCTGGAGAAGGCTTATGACATGGTTGATTGGTCTTTTTTGTTGGAAGTGTTGAAAGGCTTTGGATTTGTAGATACTTGGTGTAAATGGATTTGGGGCTGTATTAGGAGTTGCTGATATTCTATCTTGGTGAATGGAACTGTGGTGGACTTCTTCCCTGCATCGAGAGGAATAAGACAAAGAGACCCACTATCCCCTTTTCTTTTTACTTTGATTGTAGATGTCCTTGGGAGATTGATCCATAGAGCGGACTTGAGGAATTTAATAAAAGGATGGAGAGTGGGAAGGGAGAAGGTACCACTTACACATCTGTAATTTGCAGATGACACAATCTTGTTTTGGGAAGGTGGAGACATAAATTGGATCCGGAATTTAAAATTGGCAATACAACTCTTTGAGCGGATGTCTACCCTCAAGGTGAACTTTGACAAGAGAAGTATGGTGGGTGTGAATTTGAAGGAGAGGGAGCTAAGTGAATATGCAGGTGTATTAGGTTGTGTGATCTCGAACTGGCCTTTGACTTACTTAGGCCTCTCTTTAGAAGATAATCCTAAGAAGGAATGCTTTTGGAACCTGGTATTGGAGAGATTTGAAAAAAAGGCTTGCTTCTTGGAGGAAGAATTATCTTTCCTTAGGGGGGAGAGTCACTTTGATTAGGTCTACCCTTGCTAACCTACATGTTTACTTCCTGTCAGTATTTAAGATCCCCACAAAGGTTTCTAACATTTTGGAAAAATTAATGAGGGATTTCTTGTGGGAGCCAGGAGAGGAAAAGAAGGACCATAGGGTGCGTTGGGAGGTGGTAACCAGATGCAAAAATCTAGGAGGCCTTGGGATTGGGAATATCAAGAAAAGGAATATGGCATTGTTGGGGAAGTGGTTATGGAGGTTTCCATTGGAAAGAGATAGGTTGTGGACAAAGATTGTGGCTAGCATACATGGGCTGGAAGACAATGGTTGGGAACCTGGAATTATGGCAAGGGATACAAATGCCCTCTCCTTGGAAAGCCATTCATGATTTGCTTCTAGTTTTCTCCCATTGGATCAAGTATGGTCTTAACTCTGGTAATAAAATAAAATTTTGGGAACACCATTGGGTTGGGGACTCACCACTGATGGACCAATTTCCTTCTTTGTATGCTTTGTCAGATTTGAAACATAAACCCATCTCGTCCTTCTTAAGTCCTTCTGTTTCTTCTTTTGGTTTTGGGTGGAACCTAGGCCTAAGAAGGGCAATTAGGGATACAGACTTGGGATGCATAATGTCTCTGCTAGCCATCATTGAAAATGCCTTCTTGGACACTAATAAGGAGGACACCAGATTTTGAACCCCTTCCTCCTCAGGTACTTTCTCCTGTGCTTCATTTTTTGAGACATTAGCTCAACCTTCTGTTCCTATTGGGTTGTCCTTTCCGATTAAAGAAATTTGGAGTAAGCCCATTCCTCCTCGGGTTAGTAGTTTTTGTTGGGAAACTTTCCTGGAAAGAATTAACACAAATGACCTACTTCAGAAGAAAGAGACCCAATTCTTGTTTACTTCCTAATAGATGTACTCTCTGTATAGACAGTACAGTTGATGGGGGAACTGCTTATCACCTCATGATTACTTGCTCAGTTGCTAAAACAGTTTGGGAGTGAGCTTTATCCCTCTTTGGGTGTATTTGGACCCCCCCTGGGAGTGTCCAAAGCTTGTTCTCTTCTTCTTTTTTCAGATGGCTTAAGAAAAAAGGGAAGATTATGTGGAGAAGCATTAGGGCAGCAGTGTGTTGGTCCTTATTGGAAGAAAGAAACTCCCAAATCTTTTCAGATAAGGAAAGAACCCTGGAAAATTTATTAAATATAATTCTTGTAAGGGTAGTCCACTGGCTGAAAACTATGGAGTTGTTCTAAGGTTATTCTGTGGCTGATTTGGTAAGAAATTGGAAAGAGATAGCTTCCTCTGCCCTATGTAAGAGGACTCATAGCCTTTCTTGGACCCCTCCCTCCTCTGGGTTCATAAAACTGAATTTTGATGGTAGTTGCTTGAGGAATCCAAGGCCTTCTGGGATTGGGGGAGTGTTCGGGAATGAGGATGGGGTTATTTTTGCCATGTTCTCAGGCCCAATTGGAGAAGGAGGCTCTCTTAGGGCTGAGATTCTTGCTGCCCTGGAAGGTATCCAAAGAGCGAAAGATTTGAACATCAGATGTTTGGTTCTTGAAGGTGACTCGGAGGTGGTGATTAGATGGCTAAAAGAAGAAGACAGTGGTTTACGGAGGTATAACAATGAGAGGAAAAAATTCAAATGGCTGAGTAGGGATATGGTAATGCAATACAGCTGGGTGAAAAGGACTGCTAACTCAGTTGCGGATGGGTTAGCCAAGAAAGGGGTGAATAGGGAATCTATATTTTGGGCTAATTTTTAACTTTACTCCATCGTACTCTATTGGTGGGGAGTTAAGACATTTTACCTCCTCCCCCCTCTTGTTGTAATTAAAGTTTCACATCATTAATAAAGTTTCTTATTACTGATAAAAAAAAAACCAGAGCCTCTCTGTTATGGTTGTTTTCACTCAATTTTCATAGTTGGTTTAATTTCAGATACTTTTTTTTTTCCAGTTCTCCTGTCTTTGTATTTTAGTTATACCATAATACTAAGTTTTGTGCCCTTTTGCTGTCTTTTATGAAAAGGCAATTGGAGGTGGATGATAACAACAATGTCACATCAAGCAGTTCAATAGGTGTTGGAGAAGCTAATGATTTTCCTGCAAGCCAAAAAAATCACCATGCAAGCTCACCTGTTCTGCAATCCAACATCCATGCGACTCCTGAGGGAAATCTAAACTCACAAGGTGCATCTGAATATACCCATTTGCTTAACCAGTACTATGAGCTGGAGGGGCAGAGACAACAGGTGCTACAGAAACTTCATCAACTGGGTTATTGGAATTACCAAAATCCATGTGAAGGATCCGGCCCCTGTGGGCAGTGGTTTAACTGTTTTTCTACTTCTCAAGAACCAGTCTCAGCATGCCAGGCATCCTACCAAGGGTTCTCATCTTGTTGTCCATATGTTTGTCATTGCTTGGCAGCTTCATGCCCTTCATCTACTTGTACCTCAGCTGAAACATGTGAAAATAAATTCACTGCTGATGTTAGTGCTGCCACATGTGCATTGGGCCCTAAAAAACTATCCCCCCTTGAAGATATTGGTGTCGTTAAAACCGCAATGACAGCTGCAGAAAGAGCAATATCTTCCATGAAGATGAAATATCCTAGCACATACAACGCATCCGAAGGTGGGCAGGTGCATTCTTAGCAAATTTATAATATGTAGATATATTCTTCTTGGTTATGCATATGGACTTCTAATATTTGTTTTGTAGTTTCACTACATGGCACATTGACACCTTAGTCCTGATGGTCCATGGTTGGTATATGTAGGCTGCATATAATGCTTTTGGTTAATGTGGTCTATCTTGTTAGTACCTTGGGTTTCCTGCAATTAGTCTATGCTGCCTTTGGTTCATGATGCTATTTGGTTAATGCCTTTGGTTAATGTGGTCTATGCTGCAATTAGTCTTGGTGTTTTTGCAATATCATATTTGATTCTTTTTGTTTTGTCTTAAATCTTAATATTTGTATTGAACCATGCTTTGCATGACCTAGTGATTGATCAAAGATGTCCATTATTGTATGATTTAAACCTATTCAGTTAGTTTAACAAGATGAACCACAGATGCACTACTTTGCATGCTTTAATTATTGCACCTTTATTAAGGGTGCATCAGGCTCTGTTGGGCTGGGCCTCTTCAAATTTTAACTAGCGCTCAACCTGAGTCCACCCAACTTACATCCCTACATTTCAAGACTGTTTAATATGTAATCATAATTTTTTTGGATGTGGGCTTATATCCATGATGTTTAATTTTTTAATTTTATAATTTTGAATGAGAACTTGCTTGGTTGTCTAGTAGGACTACAATCAGTCCTAGTTGTAATGTACAATAAACAAGAAAGAAAGTTTGAGAATGAGAGAAGAAGAAGTAAGAGGAGAAGAGAAGGAAAAGACGAAGAGAAGAAAGTCAAAAAGAGTGTGGGTCATGACTTGGATTGTTGCCCCACTCAGCTATTTATATTAATAGTTTAAATAAGGTAAATAACCAAAATTGCCCCTACTGTTTACATAAGTTAAGAAATAATAGAAAACAGAAAATAACTACTAACTACCACTAAGTAACATAAGTAGCATAAATTGACAAACAATAGTGGGGACCACATTAATGTTCTACATCTCTACACTCCCTCTCAAGTTGGGAATAGATATTAGTCATTCCCAACTTGCATAGATCTGCCTCTAACTTTTTCTTTGAAACTGCCTTAGTGAAGAGATTTGCAAGTTGCATGTTGGAGGTGATATATGGAAGACACACTTCTTGGGAAGCAACTCTCTCTGATAAAGTGTCGATCCACTTCAATTTACTTAATTCTGTCATGTTGTACTAGATTAGGAGCACTGTTAATAGCAGCCTGATTATTGTAGTACAACATTAGGGGCTTTTCATGAGAAATACCTAGCTCCTCAAATAGGGATTTCAACCATTACACTTCAGCCATACCATTCGCCATGGACCTATATTCAGCTTCAGCACTGGAGCGAGTAACAACATTTTGTTTCTTACTCCTCCAAGAAACAAGATTTCCTCCTACAAAGGCACAATACCTAGAGGTAGACCTCCTATCATCAACATATCCGCCCAATCGGCATGTGTGTAAATTTCTATTTTCATGTGACCATTATCTTTGAAGAGTATATCTCTGCCTGGACATCTCTTCAAATATGCCAATATCCTCTCAACTACAAGTAGGTGAGTGGTTCTAGGAGAATGCATATACTGGCTAACAACATTGACTGCATAAGAGATGTCTGGTTGTGTGAGACAAAGAAGTTTTCCAACCAACCGTTGGAACATAACTTTATCTTCAAGAGACAATCCACCTTCTGCCCTGATCTTGTGATTTTTGTTCAATAGGTGTGTTAGCAGGCTTAACACCTAGGTTCCCAGTTTCTTGCAACAGATCATGAACATACTTCCTTTGGGAAACAAAAATCCCATGTTTAGACCGTGCTACCTCAATACCCAAGAAATACCGTAGCTCTCCCAAGTCTTTGACATCAAATTCTTGGTGAAGGAGTTGCTTAAGAGAGTCAATCTCATGGATATCACTCCCTGTCACCACAATATCATCCACATATACAGCAAGAAGTGTTAAGGAGGAATCCACTTTCTTCAAAGCATTGTTACCCTCTCCCCCTGTTGGATTATCTTTCCTTGTTAAAGAAATGTGGTGTCGACCTATACCTCCAAAGGTTGGGAGTTTTTGTTGGGGAGCCTTTCTGGAAAGAGTTAATACAGGGGATCTACTCCAAAGGAAAAGACCCAATACTTGCTTGTCTCCTCACTGGTGTGTTCTTTGTAAATCTGTTGGTGGGTTTGGATACATTTACTAATTTCTTGTCAGTTTGTTAAAGTTATTTGGGTATGATTTACTTCTCTGTTTGGGTGTAGGTGGGCGCCCCCTTTGAATGTGCCAAGCTTATTTACCTCCATGCCTAACTGGCCAACCAAAGGGGCCAAGATCATATGGAGGTGTGGTAGGGCCAAGATCATATGGTGGGCTCCCCCTTTCAATGGAATCATCAACATTATGCTTCACTATAAACACCCATCTACACCCAACCGGTTTCTTCCCTTTAGGTTGATCAAATAACTCCCATGTATTGTTCTTTAGAAGGGCATTCATTTTTACCTTCATTGCATCCTTCCACTTAGGTATTGACAAGGCTTCCTGCATTGTTCTGGGAATGGGAATAGCGGCAATGGATGCCAAAAAAGACTTGTAGGATGGAGACAAATGATCATAAGACAAGAGCGGGGAAATACAATGAGTTGTAGATGAGGTACAACGACGTTTCCCTTTACAGACTGCAATGGGAAGGTCAAGATCATCCAATGGAGGTGAAGGCTCAACAATGGAAGGTATCTCATCTGCAATGGAAGATAAAGGAACTGTGGTACCTGGATCTGGATACATAGAAGGAATTGGAGCTAGCCTAGACTATTGATGACCGAAATCGACCTGTCTCCACCGCCTGTGATATACTCTCAAATCCTGGCACTTCTGACAACTCTCCTCACTACACTCCCTTTCAGTGATTGGGACAGGTAATGGAATTTTTGATGAATGAGCCCTCACCTCACTACTCTCCCCCTAAGAAGAAACCATAGGATAATAGGTTACATCCTCAAAGAAAGTAACATCCATAGAAACAAACCACCTCTCAGAAGTAGGTTTGTAGCAACAATATCCCTTTTGAGTTTGTGCATAACCAAAGAAAATGCATTTTGAGGCTTTAGGATGAAATTTGGAATGATGAGGTCCAAGAATCTGAACAAAGCAAGTACATCCAAAGGTTTTAAGGGGAATAGTAAACAATTCTTTATCAGGATATAAAAGGGTGAATGGAACTTTCATGTCTAGAACCTGTGAAGGAACTCGGTTGATGAGATATACAGTTGTATGAATAGCATCTCCCCTAAAACGTATAGGCACATTGGAGTTAAGTATAATGCTTCTAGCCACCTCCAATATGTGTCTATTCTTCCTTTTAGCAACCCCATTTTGCTGAGGTGTATGGGAATATGTTCTCTGATGGATAATTCCATGGTCAAGGAAATATGAGGCCAATGGTTTTGCAAAATACTCTTTCACATTATCGGGTCTGAAAATTTTGATTTTGACCCCAAATTGGGTCAAAACCATTTGATGAAAGATCCAGGTTATAGTCATCAACAAACAACAAGAAATATTTGTATCCCTCCATAGCAGTGATGTGATAAGGTCCCCAAACATCAGTATGCACAATTTCAAAAGGAATGCTACTTCTTTTATTACTCAAAGGATATGTTGTTCTACAATGCTTTGCAAGCTCACAACTTTCACATTTCAAATTAGACATCTGGACCGACTCAAACAAACTAGGAAACAAACTCTTCAAAGACCTAAAAGATAAATGACCTAATCGATCATGCCAAAGCATAACCTGACTAACAGACTGAGAAACAAAAGACCTCCCAACTTCACTATTTTCCCCATGTGAGCTCTCTCCAAGCAGGTAGATTCCATTCGTCTCACGACCAATCTCAATCACCTTCCTTGTCTCCAGATCCTGAAAAACATATCGATCAAGAAAAAATGTCACTGTAGCTGTGGATGATTTGTTCTTACCAGTGTGGTTAGTGTCCTCCATTGAAGCTACCCTTTGGAGAGAAGCAAGGCAGGAGGAAGATGAAAAGGTGGAGGAATTGAAGCTACGTGGCAGCTTGAAGTTGGTTGGAAAAAAGAGAAGGAATTTTCACTAGAATGAAAACATAACTTTTATGCAACCCAAAAGACTGATGTGTTAAACAAGGCAATGGTGTGACAACCAACGTTACCTTTGCTCAGGTAATTGCTTGTGGCGCTAAGCAAAATATGTTGAATGGTTCAAATGAGGGGAAAGATTTGGGTGCAGTACAGAATGAGGGAGGTGAATCATCGGGTCAGGCGGGGGTCTTGTTAAACCGTATGGTGCCCACCCAGCAGGCCCAAATCCAATTTCAGCTTTTTATCCTGGGCCCAGTAGGCCCGAAAAGTTAAGTGGGCTAAAATCAACTGACCCAGGTTTCAAGTTGGTGCTGACGACTTAAAGGAGCACGTGACAGGGGAAGCACCTCAAGTAGACAGTAAACAAGGTCTACCATCGTCTTCCTCTTCCTTTCGCTCGAATAGCTCAGCAAAGGTCTCCAGCTTACAATGTATACCTTCGAAGAAGATGATTCGATTTGAGCAGGAGCGCCATAACCCGAGGTATGTGAAGAGCAGTGAGTTATTTGACTCAGTATTGGACAGGTTGACAAATGATGAAGAGTTGTCTGATTCGGATTCAAAATCTGGAGAAACCATCAGTCTGGGAAGTATTGACCTCCAAAAACCAAAAGATATCTTGGAGGAGGGTAGTATAAACACTGAACTCCTATTTCTAGAGGAGGAAATGGACTTGCAAGACTCTGGCAATGTCAAAAGGCAAAGAAGGTTGAGTCTTAACAACGACGAACAGATATCTTCTAGCCCGGGTCTTCCATACAAAAAACAGATGGAGTTCGAAACACTTAAAGAGGTCCGGTAGATTACATCCCCGCCAATAAACGGGTCTACTCCATTTGCACAACCTAGTTAGGACATCGGGCCAGAGACA